ACAAGAGCAAATTGATACTCGACTGTGACCCTTAGACACTTGGCACTGATTGCTGTACGGTACAGGGGTTCCATCCTCATCCAGCTGCCCAGTCTACAAAGTCTGTCAGGAGGAAAAGAAAAAGAATACAGATTTTCTTGTAGCCCTGATGCTGGCTTCATTCCATGACCTGGCCATGCATCACATACTCTTCTTCAATGATTTATTTGAGTGCATTAATTTTTAATTGTCACAGTAAAAGTTAAGTTTTATTGCACTAGATTGTTGTGCTCTCTCTCTTTGTCCATCAAGCTTTTTAGCACTCCTTGTGATGCAGGCAACAGAGCTGCAGAAATCTGAACTTTGTGACCTAAAGAGAACCTTGTTAACCCTGTAGTGAATTGAGTTCAGTGTTGCTGTACAGTGCAGAAAAATTGTGTTATTTTTTTACCAGTATGACGTCAAAAAAGACTGGCAATGCTGGCCAACATCTCCCCTCTTGTAATCTTAGTGGATAAATTAAGAGCAGCCTACAGACTGAACTTGTGAGGGAAGGAACACTGGCACAACCAAAGAACATTTCTCCTGATCCCAAATGGTTTAGAGAAAAGTCTGTAGGACTCTTGAATGTAAATGAGCCCAAGTTAAAGATTCAAGGTATTCTTGATTAGACCAGAAGTCGGAATTGAGAAGTCTCATTATTAACCTCTTGTGCTGATATCAACAGGTTGGTCATTGCTAGAATTTTGGAGAATTTCTTGTATGTATCTTTGGGAATACCAAATTAATTTGATAACCTAAAAACATTCAGGTGATCTAACCTTCAAAATTAAAAAAAAATCACTCTTTATTAGCCAGCTTAATTTATCCAGTGTGAGGGGGACCACATGCAAACCCTTCACTACATCAAATGCCTGTTATTGCTGTCAGCACATCCACCCACCTGGAGGTTGGATCATCAGAGGGAACGATTCAATCACATCATAGGTGAGCAAAAATATTGACCACTATTTACAGCTGCTAGTTAGTAGGATGCCCTTTTTTTCGAAGGACTCCACGCATGCAATTAATTTGCTGAATAACATACAGTATCAAGTAGGCACTCCAATTACAGGTGCTGTGGAATGTTATTTGGACTTTCAGAGTTGCCCACAACAACATGCATTTTCTGTGGTCCTGTTGAAGTTTGCTGCAATGCACAATTATTTGTGGAACAGTTCTGCAGAACAGGGGCACTGCAAAGGGGGCAAAATAAGCTCCTAGTTTGGCCAACCAGTTTGGGAGGAGGATGACGTTTATACCCATCAGAGGAAGAAGTTTGTGTTGTGTGCAAGATATATAGATGACATCCTCCTCCCGTGGAATGGCAATTTGAATTCTTTGGTGCAATTTTTTTCAGAACTTAATAATAATGAATTATGAAGCTAGTTTCACGGAAATACATTTTTTGGACTTGAATATAAGGGTATAGGGTAACACCTTTTGTAACTACTACTTATTACAAGGCAACTAATTGTAATGCCACTATCAACCCTGACTCAGATCTGTTCCTCAGAGCCAGTTTACTAGAATTAATAGAAATTGTGCACATGAGAATTCTTTTCTGGCAGAAGCTAGTATTCTTAAACAAAGATTTTTGGATAAAAGTTGTAAGGAGAAAAATTTGGATAGGTTTATCTCTGAGATTAAGATGGATGACAGACAGCAACTTTTGCTGGAGAGACCCAAGATTGGTAATGAAGGAACAAAAAGGTTTATTCTTGGGCAATTTACCCTTCTTTCCACACACTGCTATAGTGTTAGAAAAATCATTAACAAATACTGGTATATATGGGCAGCACAGTGGCTAAATGGTTAGCACTTCCGCCTGGCAGTACTAGGGTCGTTGGTTTGAATCCCAGCCACGGAACCACCTGCCTGGAGTTTGCATGTTCTCCCTGTGCCTGCGTGGGTTTCCTCCGGGTACTTCGGTTTCCTCCCACACTCCAAAGACATGCTGGTAGGTTAATTAGCTCCTGTCTAAATTGGCCCTAATATGTGTATGTATGAATGTAAGTTAGGGACCTTAGATTGTACGCCCCTTGAGGGTTAGGGACTGATGTGAATGTTCAATATATATGTGTAAAGTGCTGCGTAAATTGACGGCGCTATATAAGTACCTGAAATAAATAAAATAAATATTTTGAGGAACAATAATATTCTTGGTCCTCTTTTACCTTTGAAACCTCATGTGGTATATAAAAGGGTGTTCTCTTTAAGGGATATTGTCACCTCTAATCTGATTGATAGTCCTATTAGGCCTACTCTTTTCCATAATCTTGCTAGTTTCTATCCTTGTTAGAAATGTGTTGTATGTAGGGTTAATCAGCTTGGTCAAAGAAAAATCACCTCCCTAACATCCACTGCGATGTCTAAGCATTATATTATTGAATCTTTCATCACCTTTTCATTCTGCCACTCATCAGTGTGGTCTGCCATATGTTGGCAAGACAACATGGGCATTGAGTGTATATTTGGGGGAACATTTGAACAACATAGGAAATGGCTTTAAAGGCCATAGTGTCCCAAAACTACTCAGCTGTCCACAATAAGGATCCATCATGTACCATCCTATTACAATTAAACAGGTTTTCCCCTCGTTGGATGGGTTACTACCCATCCAACGAGGGGAAAACCTGTTTCCCAAAAGGAAAATTTCTAGAATGGAAACTAGATGGATACGTCAAATAAAAACATATTCCCCACACGGTCCTAATGGGGATTGGGATATTAATGCATTCATAAATGACAGTTGATGGCAACTTCAGCATTTTGTAGCCTCATTGCAAAGGCTCAATATGTGAGCTTAATTCAATGGAGAGGCTCATGGATCCAAGAGGGACACCTAATCTTACAGAATGTTAGTTTCAGTCTTGGATCCAGGGGATTTCAGAAGATTTAAAGCTTAAACTTGTAGCATATGCACACTCAACTTCAGTAGATATGAGGATGAAAGAAACCTCTTGGCTAGGTGGTACTATGTTCCATCAAATCTATATCGTGGGATGTCATCGAAATATTGGAGAGGTTGTGGCAGTGAAGAAACACACGCTCATGTATGGCGGTACTGTCCAGTTATTCAGATATATTGGAAGAAATCATCTTCCAGGACAGCTACTCGAGAGATAGGCTCATCTCACCTAAACAGGAAAACACATGATCCACAATAGTTAAAAAGGGCGAACCAGTGATGGACCCTCAGTTCATGTGTTTCCTCAGGCCAGGCAGGACAGGATTTCTTTGCTTTCAATACCAGGCCTTCATGCTAGGGGGCAGGGGCCGCTCAGACTGCAGCCGTCCAGTGTGGGCACAAAAGTGCTGGGGATTCTGCAGCAGATTGGGCTGGGATAACATGATTTCAGTTCAACACCCTTCCTCTTCAGCACCACAAATTTTTACCAAAGTGCTAGCAGAAATCCTGAGAAACCGAAGATTAAAGGGTCTGGAAGTAATTACCTGGACGATCTCCTGATCTTCACAGACACAGCAGCCCAAACAACAAGAAATCTAGACATAGCAAAAACTTATCTCCAGAAGACCGGCTGGATAGTAAACATAGATAAGTCACAGTTGATACCATCTAAGAGATTGGTTTACCTAGGTTACATTCTGGATGCAGAAAATTTGAGGACTGTCCTGACAGAAGAGAAGGCTCGGAACCTTCAGCAGGGGGCAGTTGAATGCTTGCTATCAACAGAATGCTCAATAAGAGAAGCCATGAGACTATTTAGCTGGATGACTGTGGCAATCCCTGCAGTTCAATGGGCCCAGTTACACTCAAGATCCTTGCAGAACAGCACTCTTATCAAAATGGGATGACGTTCAGCAATCTCTGGACGCAAGTATATGCATCCTAGAGTTGAAGAATTCAGTCCAAGTGGTGGCTTTCCCCTCAGATTTTGACAATAGGTTGAGCATGGAGACAAACAAATTCAGTAAAGATTACCATGGATACAAGCACCTGGGGGTGGGGAGCCCACCTGGATAAGCATCTTGCACAGAGGAGATGGAATCAAGTGGGACATCTTGTTTTTCAAATGTCAGGGAGCTAAAAGCGATAGGGGAAGCGCTAGTGACATTCATATCTCTGATTCAAGTAAAGCATGTTCAGATCTTGACCGGCAACAGCACAGCGGTTGCGTATATCAATCACCAGGGAGGTACAAGGTCAAGTAACCTAATGGCAATAGCTGAAGAAATTCTCCTTTGGGCAAAGAAGAACCTGTTGTCAGTAATAGCAATTCATCTAAAAGGGTAACTGAATCACCTGGAAGACAGTTTGAGCAGACATCAGCTGAGGAAAACAGAATGGTGCCTAAACCAGAAGGACTTTCTATAGATTTGCGAGAAGTGGGGTACTCCAGAGATCGACCACTTCGCCTCCAGGAACAACAGAAATGTGGAAAAATATTCCTCCCTACAAAGGGACAGTTGCAGTTTGGGAACAGATGCTCTGGCTCATCATTGAAACGGGAAACTGCTATACGCCTTTCCTCCCATTTGCTTAACCTCCCTAGTGGTATGATTATTTCCGATTTTTTGTGCTGAAAGCGGTACCATTATTTTGCATGCAAATATGTAGTTTTTTTATTGTAGGCTATAATTTTTAGGAATAACTCACTGAAATCTGTCCGAACAAGAGTCTATTAAACATCCCGGGTATGATAAAATTTGAAACACGAAATCATAAATTATAATTTAATAAATAATCATAAAAAATATTAATATAATAAGAATACATTTAATTCAATAATATAATCAAACCGAAAACACAAATGTGAAATAGAATGCCAAGTTCGCACATTGCTGAGCAAAGTCGCAGAATCGTTTTCAGTGTCTGATGACGAATTTCCCCACGAATCATTATCACTCAATTCTGCAAGTGGTTTTGATTTACTATCGCTGTTCTCTAGCTGATCTAAACCCGCTTTTGACATAAAGGGACACTGTTTGGACGCCATGGACGTTTCTCAGTTTCCAGGCAGAAAGAACAGACAAAATGCAGGCAGGGCACAGGACAAAGCACTAAGGACAATATGTATGTGAAATGGGTTGAAACAGCAATGTTTTACTATGTAAAACTTGTTTTGAAAAAAAATGACAGTTTTTCAAATTTCCCACCGCCGGCAGCGCCCGTACATCCCAGGGACCGGAACACAGAAGCCAGATGCCGGCATGTGCCGGAGGAGATGGCCAGGGACACTGCAGAGGACACATCGCGGAGCGAAGGACAAGGTAAGCTCTGCAGGGACTCCCTATGCAGCGCCGCATGGTAAGCCCGAGTGTAGCTCGGGGTTACCGCTTTTGGTACTGACATTTTACCCCGAGCTACACTCGGGGAATACCGCTAGGGAGGTTAATCCTCAGAGTAATCCAAAAGATACAGAGGTCAAACGCCAAAATTATCCTGGCGGTTCCTTTCTGACCCAAGAGACCTTGGTTTTCGGGCCTATACAATCTAAGCTTGGAACCTCCCCGAAGATAACCGCAAAGGTTGGACCTAATTCATCAGGCAGGAATACATCACCCAACAGGGGAGAGGCTTTCCCTTTTAGCATGGCTACTGAAAGGAGCTCTTGCAAAAGAAAGGACTTTCGCCCAGAGTAATAGATACCATTCTGGCAAGTAGGAAGAATTTCACTCATGCTATTTATGGGAAAATCTGGAAGAAATTTTTAGCATGGAGAAAGGATAAGAACCAAGCCGACAACCTGTGATTAATTCAGTTCTTGAGTTTCTGCAGTTATTGACTGACATCAATTTAGCCGCAAGCACTCTCAAAGTACATGTCGTGGCTCTCTCTAACTTTCTAGAAATTTGTCTAGCAGAGATTCCCTTAATTAGACAATTCTTGCTGTTGGTTTCCAGAAAGAGGGCCCCACGCAGGGCGAAGTTTCCTTCTTGGGATTTACAGACTATCAGATATGACAGTCATATCAGAATACCACAGATAGCAAGAAATTATTATTCTTTATTTTTACGGCAACCCCAAAAATCAAATAGAAACAGATCTCAAAAAACTAGATGAAAGAAGATGTTTAACCATGGACACTGAAAGAACAAAAGACTGGAGAAAAACTTCCAATCTATTTGTCCTGTTCAACAGGGCAACAAAGCTTCTAAAAATACTATAGACAGATGGATGAAGCAAGTTATAGAGGAAAGCTACAGAACTCAATCCCTTATTCCCCCTGGGGTCTTAAGGCTCACTCAACCAAAGCAATGGCTGCCTCCTGCGCGAAAAAAGCTGGTGCCTCCCCTAGCCAGATTTTCAGGGCAGCCACTTAGTCCAGTTTCCTGACCTTTGCAAAACCTTATCGGTTGGAACTGCTGTCTCTAAGGCAGGCCAGAATTTTAGAAGGAAGATCTTGCAAGCAGGAGTGCCACCCTGAGCTGGTAATGCTCGCCTATCCCCTCGAGTAGTTGTCCTGGAAGATGATTAGCAAAAACCAAGTTATTACCTATTATTATTAACTGCGTTTCTAGGAATCTTCCAAGACAGCGTTAGTTCCCTCCCAATCATTTGGCTAGGATATTTGCAATTATAGTTGGGTAATATTATAATTTTATGCTTATATGGTACGTTGCGGCCTTCGGTAATTTTCTATGTACTGAGGGTCCATCATTGGTTCGCCCTTAATTATTGTGGATCATGTGTTTCCTATTTAGGTGGGAGGAGTCTATATCTCAAGTAGCTGTCCTGGAAGATTCCTGAAAATGCAGTTAACAAGTAACAACTTGGTTTTTAAATATAATTAGGATAATTACTAATTCAAAATTGTGCAGGACTCTTGTCAATGTCTCTTTCATGCAACTAGGGTTTCAAGGAAAATATACAAAATGTCTGTTATACCATTGTTATTAAATGCAGCAAAGGCATTGGAAAATGGGCAGGATGGAAAGGCGAAGGAATCCTCATAAAGCAGGGATGGGCAACTGTGGCCCTCCAGCTGCTGTAGAACTACAAGTCCGATGAGGCATTGCAAAACTGACAGTTACAAGCATGACTCACAAAGGCAGAGGCATGATGGGACTTGTAGTTCACCAACAGCTGGAGGGCCACAGTTGCCCACCCCTGCCATAAAGGAAAAAAAGAGGTAGTGGGTTAAGAAAGAGCAGGGATGTGCAATTCCTATTGCCCGACGCCCTGACATGTAGTTCCGGGTGCCGGGCAGGTAGTTTTTTTTGGCCTCTAGCCCTGCTGCGGGAAAGCAGCAGGGCTCACCTGTCAGGTGAAGCAATTGGCGGCAGTGCTGCCGCTGATTGCTTTCACACATTGCCAGCCTCTTTGTGCCCCTGGCGTGAGGTTTCCCAGGCTCCGTTTGCTCATCTGCAGGCCCCGGCTCACCGTCAGCTAGAGGAGGGAGAAGCCCACCGTGTCAGCCTCTCCCCCGCTATATGTCCCGGGCTCTCCTTGCCCATCTGCGGGCCCGAGACTGGTTCAGTGGGTGCCATGGGATGTGGTATAGGGGAAGGAGGAGAGTGGACACATCCGCTCCCCTCCCCTTCCCTTCTTCTCCTGACCCGGACGTGATGTGACGTCACTTCCTGGTCCCCGTTCGACAGATTCCCGGTCATTGAGGCTGGGAAAGAATGTAATACGGTGCGATGTGCACCGCATTACATTAAGTGTAGTACAGGGGAGACATGCAAGATATTTTAGACCCTGGATGTCTCAAAAAAGAGATCCTGTCACCAAAAATCATCACATAGGGGACCTATTGTCCCGTATGTTATTCACAAAAAAAAAAAAGTTAATATTTTTTTCTTAAATGGAAGTTACACCCAAGCATATGACACCCCAAAAATTTTCAAGGCCCACCACCCCCACATATGTATGCACGCACAAACTCGAAAGCAAATGCTCGGGCACCTACACTACACACGAAAACGTGTATTTCGATACACATATTACATATTGCCGTGCATGCCAGAATGAGAGCAATAATTCTAGCACCAGACCTCCTCCATACATTATACTGATGACCTATAAGGGGCTTTAAACTGTCGCCTATAGAAAATATAGGGTTACTAAAGTTTGTTGCCGTTTCACAAGCACACGCAAATTTAAGGTTTGACATGTTGGATATCTATTTACTTGCTGCAACCTCGTCTTTTATATCTTACAAAAAAATTGGATGATTTATTGCTTTTTGTGCCCTGAAATTAACTTAAGTGTATTTTCGTACTGAAATTTTATGTTTCCTAGACCTTTGTGATAATATCTTGTGACATAAAAAATTGGAACTACCGCTATTTTATTCTATAGGATCTCTGATTTCAGAAAATATATCATGTTTTGGGGCTTTGTGTCATCTTCAGGCATAAAACGATTTTTTAAAACGTGTGTAGATAACGCAAAAACAGCTCTGGTAGTGAAATGGATAAAGGATAAGTTGGACATTCCCCTTTCCTGACGAGCAGCCAATCGGTGCTCATTACACTGCACGGTCTCTCCTCTCCCTGCTAGTCCCTGGGGGCAGGGCTGGAGACAGGCAGGGAGGGGAGGAGAAGATAAACAGTGCAATGTTAAAAATATTAAACATTTAAGTCGCCATAAAGCCCCTTTTGTTTTTAAAAGCCCCAGACATTACTTAAAGCAGATTTAAATACCGTTTTGGTTAAATTTATGGTTTTTTTTTATCAGGACAAGTAAATTGTCATGAGGGACAAATGGATTTGGACACAGATTTAGTCCTTGGATAAGTAGTTTCTTCAAAACTTTCCACACCCCTGAAGAGGCATCTCTATCTAGGCCCGTTAGAGAGAATATAACATTTTTTTTCCTTTCTTCTCCGTCTGGGGGAGGACACAAGAGTAAATGTTATAGATGAGATGATTTATAATGTCACTATATGTAGTAGGTGGAGGTTGGAAGATGGTGGGAGGGGAATAGGGAAGAGAGAGAGGAAAAAGGGGTTTAAATAAAAGGTTTGGTAGCTTAAGAAACCTCTTGGGGAAACCTATGTGGACCAACCTCATTTTGAAAACTTAGGAGAACTCCTCCATTCCTTCTGTCTTTCCTTAAGGGGAATGAATAGGGTTGTTGTATTAAAGAAATAGGGATTTAGGATATACACCCTGTTGTGTGATTGTTAGTGCCCCCATTTTGTGTCATGTAAGAGTTTTAATTTTTACCTTGTATGTCTTTTTTGGTAAATGTATTTTATATAGTATTTAAAATGAATAAAAAGAATTAAATGAAACCTAGACGGTTGAATAACCTGTCTGTTTTTGTTATTGTTTGAGGATGTTATATTGTACAATTTTGTTTTAGGAATTTTTGTGTTCTTATAGATCTTTGCAGGTTAGAACAATATGAAGTCTATGCCATGGAAATGAATCTACCCCTCCTCTTTATATAATTTGTTTTTTTTGTATTTTTTACTTTACTTTTTACTTTTCTTTTTTAGTTTAGAATTTTTATATATAAATTAATACTACTATCATGATGTACAGTTGGTCCTCTGTATAGGAGATTGCCATTTTTGTAAATCATTTTTCCTCCTTTTTTGTAGTATATATAACCCCTCTAATGATTTTTAAACTGTTTTTTTAATAAAATTTAGTGTTTTATCATTTTTTTATCGTACAGCATGGAACACACAGCAGGCAAAAATCATGACCATCTAGGTTATGTGCCACCTATAGGTGAATAGATACTGGCTGACCAAAAACAAACAGGAAGTCCTCCCCTATATACCCCTCCCTTACAGGAAGCCCACTAGTTTTTTTTACCAGTGTCGGGAAGGTGATAATGTGCTGCATGGGCTCTCTGGAGAATACTAAGATGTCTGGAATGGTTCTAATATGAATCAAAGAATTGGGATCAGATCCATTTGGATGGCTGACGGCTAACATGGATGGTACCCAAACCCTGTTTGGAGAGCATGGATTGCCTGAAATTGGAAGTGTGAAAGTGAAAGCAGGTCTTGCTGACGATGGTACTTTATACTGCGACCACTAGAAGAAGTGCTCTGTGTTAATCTTTAACCGCATGCCCACCTCCCTATAGCAGATGTACTGCTACAGGGCGGCACCGCTGCTGAAAAAGCATGTAAATATACGTGATTTGCATTTTCGGGTAGGGGGCGCACTCATGGGCTGCCCTATCTGCACCACTATCGGCTGCTGGGGATGTCAATCACTGGGTTATCATCAGCAAAGCTGACAGGGGAGAGACGTGTGTAAACAGGTCTTTCTCCTGTCAGCATGGACATGCTGCTTTGTATCTGCACAGCAGAGAGATACAAAGCAGCATGTCTCCAAAGTAAAACAGCGCACAGTACACAGTTAACTCTTTGATTGCCCTATATGCTAACCCCTTCCTGCCCAGTGTCATTAGTACAGTGTCAGTGATTTTTATTAGCACTGATCAATGTATCAATGTCACTGGGGATGTCATTGGAAGTTAGTCAGTTTCCACCCAGTGTCAGAATGCCTGCCATAGTCCCACTATAAGTCGCTGATTGCCGCCATTACTAGTATTAAAAAAAAATTCCAGTATATATACCACCATTTGTAGACACTAGAACTTTCACGTAAACCAATTAATATACACTTAGTGGGATATGTTTAGCAAAGACGTTTATAACGCAAAAAAATAAAAAATGCAGATCTAATAGCACCAAAAAAAAGCTCTATCTGGGGAAAATATAACGTAAATTTCATGCATGTACAGCGTTGCATAACCGTGCAATTTTCAGTTAAAGAAACGCAGCGTCGTATCTCAAAAAATGGCCTGGTCAGGAAGGGGGTAAATCCTCTGGAGGGCATGTGGTTAAAAATGGTGCTCTGCTACAAGGAAAATATACAAATAAATGCCCAAAATAATATGCATTTAAATACATAAAAGTTCTACAGTGAATACATTCAGTAAAAGGAATCAATGAATGTCTAAAATGACATAATTATAAATACAATAAAACACCTCAAATAAGTCCACTCTATAAGAGCTGATTCACGTATGTGCAGTGCAGATTAAAGCTCAGGTTTCACAGCTAATTGATACAGTAGTTGTTCACAGGTTCACGTCAATTTTACATCAGGTTCAGAACAGGATTAGCTCAGGATCACCGGACATATGTGAACAGGCACCATAGGAAGCAATGTTTTTTCTTTACAATTAATTTTATTATATACAGCACAACAGAGAAACAGTCAGAGACAATCTCATTACCACACAAAAAGGAAGGTGTGCAATTCTGTTGATGAAGGACATAACAAATGCACTGAAATATTAACACGAAGAGAAGCGGAGTACAAAAAACACAATCTTTAAAGGGATGGAATGAAACCCTATAAATTGCGTTAACAGCAAATAGTAACCAATGAGCTGGTGTGGGCAAAGACCCAGGATAGTCACCAATGTCTCATACAGATTATAGGAAAAGCTGAGCATGAAGTCTCACTGGATGCACATCGGAACGCTACACCAGGGGCTTCCAAGAAAGTCCGGCCGGTGTATAAGACATTATAGGTACAATTTTCTAGGGGTATCGCAATCCGTGCATATAACATAAAAACTGACAGAAACAAAAAAAAAAAAAAAAAGAAAGGGAAAGAAAAGAGAAAAGCAGAGGAAGAAGAAACAAGATTAGGAAAGGCAAATAAAGAGTTCCAGGTAGTGCACCAGGAGAATCTTATATCGACAGGAGGGTCTGATCAAATCTAGATGGTTGAGCCACCTCAATCCAAGGATGCCAGATCTGCAGAAACTTAGTGTGGGTGTCTAACAGCATAGCCATTAACTTCACATTAACCATTATAAAATTCATCCAATTCCAGCTTCAAAGCTAAGAAGAGGGGTTTTCCAAGCTCTCACAATCGTCCATTTGGTAGCCATAAATATATGCAATACTAACTGCCACTCAGGATGGAGTAGGCCTACTGTCAGGGATCCGGGTGTGACCAGAAATGTGTGGACTGACACAGGGAAGTAGCAGGCTTCAGGAACACAGGCGTAGTCAGGGCTGGAGAGGTGGAATAGTCAGGCGGGCCGTAAGGTACAGGTCAGGCAATGCCCGGCGGGATCTCTAGTGACCCACAGAACAGGATTCCCCAGGGCGCGGAGTCTAAGCCCCAGTCTGCCTTTTCACCAGAGCCCCTGATGGTGGGGATGGACTTGGCGCAGGACTGAGACCAGGTCGTGGCCCCTGAGTGCACCCAACTGTTGTAGAGGGGACCGCCGAGGGTATGTACCGGGGGAAAGCCTGATGTGAAGGGGCTGGCAGGTTTGGATAGTAGTGACTGGATCCGAGCGGGATGGATGGATCATCTGGGTAGCATCAGGCGTAGTCAGGCAGGCCAGGTCAGCAACGTGCGGGCAGTGAGGTACCGGAGGAGCAGGCAGAGAATAGTCAGGGTCACAAGCCGTGTTCAGTAACTCGCGGGCAGCGCGGTACAGAGGATCAGGCAGAAGGATGGTCAGGCAAGCCAGGGGTTCAACAGGAGACGGTCAGCAGAGGTCAGGATCAAAGCAGGGTCAGCAACTAGGCAGATAAGCAGGAACACAGGATACCAGGTACAGGGGCTCATGGGAAACATACACCAAGGCCCTGACTGCAGGTCTGGCCATTCCTTAAATACACCTTCTGCAATCAACTCCAGGTGTTGGCTGATTGCAGGAGTGAGCTTCTGGCTGCTGAGAGCACCCGCTGGTCAGCCCTGATACTGCAGCCCACACGGCAGGTGAGTCCCACCACCAGTGCTGAGTCCATTCCTGACAGTACCCCCCCCCTCAAGGAGCGGCCTCAGAATGCTCCAAACAGTCCTTAGTGGGCAATATGTTCCACCGCTGGGTCAGGTAACTGGCTGGATATCTTACTGCCAGAGTCAACCGGCTGGCTGGGTTTCCTGCTGGCAGACTTCTCTTTATGTAGGGGAACCCAGGAAGGCAGGTTGCTCCAGGAGCAGGCTGGGAATCGGTTATTGGCCAGTTTAGCTGAACATCAGGGGCTGGCACATCAGGCTGCGCAGTGGACAGAGGCACATCGGGCTGGGCAGCAGGCAAGGCAGCGGGCACCAGGCCATCAGGCGGAGCAGCGGCGCCGGGCCATCAGGCAGAGCAGCGGGCACCAAGTCATCTGGCAGAACAGCGGGCACCGAGTCACCAAGCTCGACAGCGGGCACCGAGTCATCTGGCACAACAGCGGGCACCGAGTCATCTGGCAGAACCGCGGGCACTGGGTCACCAAGCTCGACAGCGGGCACTGAGTCATCTGGCACGACAGCGGGCACCGAGTCATCTGGCAGAAACGGCACTGGGTCACCAAGCTCGACAGCAGGCACCGAGTCATCTGGCGACAGCGGGCACACGAGTCATCTGGCACGACAGCGGAGCATCTGCAAGCATCTGGGCACTGGGTCACAGCGGGCACCGAGTCATCAAACTGACACGGGCACAGAGTCACCAAGTCGAGTCACCTGGCACCCGGGCACCGAGTCATCTGAAACGGCACTGGGTCACCAAGCTCGACAGCGGGCACCGAGTCATCTGGCACGACAGCGGGCACCGAGTCATCTGGCACTGGGTCACAGCGGGGGCACCGAGTCATCTGGCACGACAGCTGGCACCGAATCTGGCACGACAGGGGCACTGGGTCATCTGGCACGACAGCGGGCACCAAGTCACAGCTGGCACCAAGTCATCTGGCACGACAGCGGGCACCGAGTCATCTGGCACGACAGCGGGCACCGAGTCATCTGGCACACTGCACCAAGCTCGACAGCGGGCCGACCGAGTCACCAAGCTCGACAGCGGGCACCGAGTCATCTGGCACGACAGCGGGTACCGAGTCATCTGGCACGACAGCGGGCACCGAGTCATCTGGCACGACAGCGGGCACCGAGTCACCAAGCTCGACAGCGGGCACCGAGTCATCTGGCAGACAGCGGGCACCGAGTCATCTGGCAGAACAGCGGGCACCGAGTCATCTGGCAGAACAGCGGGCACTGAGACACCAGGCCGGACCACAGGCACCGAGGCACCAGGCCGGACCACGGGCACCGAGGCAACAGGCCGCACCGAGTCATCAGGCTGGATCGGGTCATCAGGCTGGATCACGAACACCGGGTCATCAGGCTGGATCGGATCATCAGGCTGGATCGGGTCTTCAGGCTGGATCACGAACACTGGGTCATCAGGCTGGATCCGGACATCAGGCCAGATCGGACCATCAGGCTGGATCATGAACAACGGGTCATCAGGCCGGATCACGGACACCAGCCAGGTCATCAGGCTGAACAACGGAAGGCGGGTCCTCAGACAGCAGGGTGACCGGTTTGGATACTGGTAGGATGGTACTGGTTGGAAAGAATTTTCGCTTCTTCTTGGGTTTAGCTACTGGAGCACTGTAAGTAAAATGCAAACTGGTCTGTAAACGGATGGAGCAGCTGAAGACAGGGAAGAGCCGGAGGATGGAACAAAGGAGGGAGCAGTTGCTACAGAGGGCTTCTTTACAGGGTAAAAGGCAGGATAGGTGCAGCAAGTGGGAGCAGGAGACTGACATGTGGTAGCTAGCAGGGTATACTGGACTATCATTGGGGGGTGCTGTTGGGAGTGCAGGAAGAGAGCTTTGAGCAGAGGAATGATGAGAAGCAGGACTGGTTTGTTGCAAGCTGACTGAGGCTGGGTGTAACAAGTCTGCCCAGGACTGTAGTATGGGTTGAACATAACTCCGCTTACACATAGCCTGTCTGACCAAAGACTGCACTGCTTCTATACACTCCACTAGCACATGTGATGGACAAGCTGCATAATGCTCATGGAAGCAATCTGTATCATCCTCCAACAACCATACCAGCGATTCCACTTGATCTGCACTAAATGGGGGAAAAAAGTCATTCCTGCTTGCAGGGGTACTAGCTGAAGCCAACTCCACACAAGCCTGAATTAATGGTTGCACCTCAGAGAACTCTGTGCCCTGATCTACCAGGGAATGTGCGACCCCTATGCATTCTAGCAGCTGATCCCTGGTATACTCCTGCAGAGTCTCATAGGCATATTCTTTGTCATCAAAGACTAGCAGACACAAGTATATAACCTCCTCCTCTGGATGCATCCTTCACAACAATAAGCCAAGATGGCTTCCCTGTGCAGCCACGTCTGGTCAGGAATGGCCTTGGTGTAATGTCAGGGATCCGGGTGTGACCAGAAATGTGTGGACTGACACAGGGAAGTAGCAGGCTTCAGGAACACAGGCGTAGTCAGGGCTGGAGAGGTGGAATGGTCAGGCGGGCCGTAAGGTACTGTCAGGCACCGCCCGGCGGGATCTCTAGTGACCCACAGAACAGGATTCCCCAGGGCGCGGAGTCTAAGCCCCAGTCTGCCTTTTCACCAGAGCCCCTGATGGTGGGGATAGACTTGGCGCAGGACTGAGACCAGGTCGCGGCCCCTGAGTGCACCCAACTGTGGTAGAGGGGTCCGCCGAGGGTATGTACCGGGGGAAAGCCTGATGTGAAGGGGCTGGCAGGTTTGGATAGTAGTGACTGGATCTGTGCAGGATGGATGGATCGTCTGGGTAGCGTCAGGCAGGCCAGGTCAGCAACGTGTGGGGAGTGAGGTACCGGGAGGAGCAGGCAGAGAATAGGGTCAGGTCAGCAACATTCGGCAGCGCGGTACAGCGGGGAGTGGTCAGGTCAGGGGTTCAACAGGAGACGGTCAGGATCAATCAAAGCAGGGTCAGCAACTAGGCAGATAAGCAGGAACACAGGATAACAGGTACAGGGGCTCATGGGAAACATACACCAAGGCCCCGACTGCAGGTCTGGCCATTCCTTAAATACACCTGCAATCAGCCCCAGGTGTTGGCTGATTGCAGGAGTGAGCTTCTGGCTGCTGAGAGCACCCGCTGATCAGCCCTGATACTGCAGCCCACACGGCAGGTGAGTCCCACCACCAGTGCTGAGTCCATTCCTGAACACCTACTATTGGTTTAAATAATAGTGCCTCATATGGGTTACACTTAATATCTGTTTGTAGCATAGTACGGAGAAGGGCATATACCCTAATCCATAGTCTGCATACCTTGTGGCAAGTCCATCAAATATGGTCCATGGTACCTATTTGTTGACAACCCCGAAAGCAAGTCAGATAATATGAGGGAATAAAATGAGCCAGTTGGGCTGGCCTTTAATACCATCTATAGAGGACCTTATAGGCATTTTCTAGTATAATAATATTCCTCGAGCATTTAGATAATGTTTGAGTCATGATCCGCCAGTCTTGCTGATCTAGACAACCCCTGAGTTCTGATTGCCACTGATGATAGGAGCGAACCAGGGGAGTCCTTTAAGAAGGGAGATCAAGCCTGGTGCCTGTGCCTGCAAATACTTTCGAAGGGAGCCTATAGGGACCCGAGTGGGCTCGTAATAATGTAGTAAAGCGATGGAGTTGGAGGTAACTAAAATGTTCCCTCAACGGGATATCATGTGAAGAACGCAAAGTCGCAAAAGTGAGTTAGGAGAGAGTATGGAGTGTACGTCATTGAAGCCATGGGCTGGCCACCACGCAAACTGGCCAGGATTGTCAAGGCTTGGGGGAACAATGGGTTGTGGAATAGGTGCATCAAGGGTAAGTGAGCAGAAATAAGACCGGCAGAATATTTAATGGAGTCCCAAAGACAAAGCGTATGTGTTAATGTCGGACTAAGAGGTGAAGGGCAACAAATGGGAGCCACAGCAAGGAAAAAAGTACCATTGGGTGAGAATCCATCAGATCCATCAGCTCACGAGAAGCGCGGCCCGTGTCCAGGGAGCGTGCCTCATTGCCGGATGATGAGGCACACCAGCTCCGGCACGCCCCAGTTGCCAAGACGACCAGAGAGCATCCTGCATCAGCTTAAGTAGCTGATGCCGAGCACTCCGGTCATCTTTTCCGCTGCGCAGTCACCGAGGGAGCCCAGCTGCGGCGGGACCCTCGTGGCTAGACTCTGCCCAGACCCCAGCTAAGAAGGGGGACTGCACCCAAGCCTGCCAGTTGCCTGAAACTCCCAGTCCAGGGGATCGCCTGCCAGTTGCCTGAGACCCCAGTCGAGGGGGATTGCCTGCCAGTTGCCTGAGACCCCCAGTCCAGGGGATTGCCTGCCAGCTGCCTGAGACCCCAGTCCAGGGGGATTGCCTGTCAGTTGCCTGAGACTCCAGTCCAGGGGGAATTGCTTGCCAGTTGCCTGAGACCCCAGTCCGGGGGGAGTTGCCTGCCAGGTGCCTGAGACCCCAGTCCAGGGGGAATTGCCTGCCAGTTGCCCGAAACCCCAGTCCAACAGGAGAGACCACCCGCCTATTCCGGACCCCAACAGGTACCTGTGTCTTACTTTCTATCCCTGGGAGACCAGGCACCCTGTCGGATCTGGGGGCAAATGCTTTTCCCTGTTTTACTTGAACTGTTCCCGTGTTGACCCCCCTACTCCCCCCCTGTTGGATTACAATCTGCTACAGAGACTTTTTCTTTGCCCCCATACTAGACTACAAGTGTTTTAGCCCCTCCTGGCTGTTCCCCTACCGGCGAGTTTCACCCTCCCTGCGAACCCCCTATTGAGTGACTGTCATCTTTTTGTCTCAAAGCTTTGTGCGTTTGCCATCTACTCTGCGTGTTCTGTCCTGCCTACCCTCCGTCACAATAGTGTATATGCCCTACAAGGACCAGCAACATACTAGTACATCACTGGACTTTTGAATAGTTATACTGGGATGATGCTACATCATCCTGGCATAATTTTTTTTTCAGCTGGCAGTCGTAAAAGCAATCGTAGTGGGTAATTAGCTGCTGGATCATTTTTACAAGCAGCAGGAAGGGATGTCCCCCTGCCGCCTTCCACAGTATTCTTGGGCTCCTCTGTCCCACAGGGGAATCCAAGAATGCAGCCGGCAGTTCTGCCGGCTGACCATAGAGCTGATCGGAGACCAGAATGGCTCCAATCATCTTTAAGGTCTAAGAAACCAAAAGCTACGAGCATTTCATCATGTCCGCTTCACCGGATATTAACCTCCATTTTTAAATTGGGAAAGCATCTGATCTTGGTGTGATCAGATGCTTTAAGGGCAAAGGTGAGATCTACAGCCTAATAGACCCCATATTTCATAGAAAAGAGTATCTGTCATTGCCTATTGCTATCACGGGATATTTACATTCCCTGTGATAACACTAGCACTAGGCTTCCTTTGTAAATATAAAGTGGTGACCTGTAAAAGCTTTTAAAGCGTCACCTATCGATATTAAAAATGTACGTAGTTTATCGCCATTGCATGGGCGTGCGTAATTTTAAAGCATGTCATGTTTGGTAACTATTTACTTGGCATAACATCTTTTATATTTTATCAAACAATTGGGCAATATATTATGTTTTTATGTTGTGTACCAAAAAAAAAAAAAATGATTCTCCAAAACTTTTTGGCAAAAAAATAAAATCTTCCATGGACTGAACATACCTCTCAGCAAATTCCTTGGGGTGTCTACTTTACAAAAGGGGGGGTTTCGTACCGCCCTGGCATTTTAGCACCTCAAGAAATATGATAGGCAGTCAGGAAGTAAAAGCTGCGTAAATTCCAGTGTATATATACACCATAGTTTGTAGACACTATGACTTTCACACAAACCAATTAATGTACGCACATTGGGATTTTTTGTTTTACCAAAACCATGTTGCAGAATACATTTTGGCCTAAATTTATGACTAACTTTGAGTTTATTGGATTTTTTTTATAACCAAAATTAGAAAATATTTTTTTTTTTTAAAAAGTCGGTCTTTTTTCACTTATATCACAAAAATAAATAACCTAGTGGTGATAAAATACCACCAAAAGAAGGCTCTATTTGTTTGGGTACAGCGTTGCATGACTGCGCATTTACCAGTGCTGACTAGCAAAAAATGCGCAGTGCTGACTAGCTATAATTGGCCTGGCCAGGAAGGGGGTTAAATCTTTTGCAGCAAAATAGATAATACACAGATGGCATACAGAAAATAAATGTTTAAACATTAATGAGGAAATTAAATATACACCCTTAGCAAAGAATGATCAAGACAATATCAGAAAAATGCAGTTCGGTTTAAATGAGTCTATCAGCCTGGAATGCATGTGAAATAACAGTACTTAGAG